GCCCAGGTGGGTCTCGAACCCGCGGGCTCAGTCAATCCACTCACCTCAGCCTTCCAAAGGTGCGGGATTACAGGCTGAGCCACCGAGCCCGGCTTTCAAATAGGTTTTATACCTAATTTTAGGATAGTAATTTGACTTTGAAAATCACCTCTTGGGTACAATATGCACAAGTGGGGCTGGTGGGTATAATTAAAGCCCAGATTTCTTTGCCACTATACAATGCATTCATGTAACCAAAACCATTTGTAGCCCCTAAAGTAATTGAAATAAAATTAAAATATGCCAAAAATAAATAAATAAAAATTTTCATGATTACTTGTATTAAAGTATGTCCTGGTTTGACAGAAAAACTAAACTCCCCATCGCTAACCAAGGTGCTCAGAGTTAATTCAGAACTTATGCAGCCATAGCCAGGAGAGGGAGCCATCATATACTGTGTGAAAAAGCAACATAGGACCAAGTGTCATAGCATCTCTCTATTGTGCTTTCAAACGAGTTCCTGTTGTTGTTGTAAAGATAAACTGTGGCAGGTAATGTCCCCCACCAGTCATTTGAAGAAAATATCTGACAGAGATTTCTGGTTTGGAGCTTGACAACCACTCAATCAGGGCTCAACTAATTTGACCAATCAAAAGTGAATCAAAAATTTGAATCTGTCATTTGCGTAAATGCACCTGATTGAGAACCACGGTAAGAACTTTCCATGTTTACGCTAGACTCTTTTTGTTCTTCAGAGAGCATGCTTTCACTTGTACTGAACGCTGTACCTTCCCAATCTGCAGATTTTTGTTAATGGTATTTGTTTTTAATAGAAAATAAATCTTTTCTTTTTTCCTCTGAAGATTTTAAAGTCTTCTGTTAACATTTCCTGGCAACAAGGGTAGTCTCCAAAATGGTCCCCAAGTTTCTTTTAAATACCATCTGGACCAATGCAATGCACCTGAGAGAACCTCTTGAGCCCAATTGTGTTCCTGGCTGTATTAAGGAAGAATGGAGTAACGTCTTTCAGATCCAAGATCTCATTTTCAGAATGAGATCTTGGACGCTTTATTTTCTTCATTTTTTGCCCAATCAGCTCCATGGGGTACCCTTTTATGGGGTGTGCTTGCACTTTGTGAGGTACAGTAGCACTCTGCAGTTTATGCTCAGGCTTTGTGGGATACTCAGTAGCACTCTGCAGTTTATGCTCAGGCTTTGTGAAATAAATATGCTTACACTTAAGTTTTACAAAGAGGCTTGCAGTTTGTTTGCACTTGAAGGGATGCTTTCACAACATAAGTACTATGGGTAATTTACATTCCAAGGTTTCCAAGGGAATGGTCTCTGATCAGCCACCTTCAGTTATTTCAGCAGCTCAGACTCTGACTGACATCAGATATTCTGGTGGCTTTTCAAATGCAAATTTTAAAATTAAGACTAGATAAAAATTGAGCCAAGATTTGCATCAAAATTGAACTATCTACATGTACAATTTAAAAAAAAAAAAAGGAGTCCTGCGGGGGGCCAGCCCCTGCAAGTTTTGGGGAGTCCCTTGGAAGATGTGGTGGTGTCGGCGAATCTGTAGGGATAGATATTAAAAGAAAGATGGAAGGATAGATATAAAGAGGAAGAAAGAGAAAGAAAGAAAGTGGACAACTGTTCAGTGAAATGAGCAGAAGCCGTTTATTGAAAGTTACAGCAGGTATTTATCCCCAAATTTTACACAGGCAGTCTCATAAGTCTTTCACGTGAACACAAAGCCAGGTGCAGGGGGGGCAT